TTAATCATTCACTTTTTTATTAAACCACTGGCTGGAGAAGGCAACGAGAGTGTCACGTTCAGGCAGAAGAAGGATTATGGACAGCACATGGTTTGAACAGCAGCATAGAGGTGGACAGAAGTCCAGTTTAACACAGGCCTGGAAGACATTCACATGATCGAGGAATGATGACCTCTGTTCAGCTGAGGCTGGAGCGTGTAAGAGGAAAAAAATGACTGTATGTTTGTTCTGTGTCACAGAATATTAAAATAACCACCCCCATTACAGCTGATGCCCCACCCCCCGCGTTTCGTGCAGACTTAAAAAAAAAAGTTCTCATGCTTCTTCTTTCATCGGGCTCTGAGGTGCACAGGCAGAATTTGAACATCACAACCTTTCAGTGTGAATCACTGTTTTATCTCTGGAGTGATCGTCCCTGCAGACTGCAGTGGGCCTGCTGCATAGGAGCACTTTCTAGTAAACGATAAACAACAGCAAGCGCAGCTGCAAACAATGCAGATGTTCTCTGTGACCGGTTTTACAACAGGGACGTCCCTCGCATCTGAGCAGATGGAAGGGCTCTTTGTCCATGTGTGCAGCTTGCAGAGACGGTTAGGGCACTCATACATATACCTTGAAATATAATAGGAAACAGCTACCACCAGTGGCTATAGTCTGCAACTGAATGTTAAAAAGATGACTGAGCTTTAGGAAATTTTCTGTTGCCTGTAAAGCAGCAAATTAACTACAAGCAAACATTAGATATGATGTTAAAGATCAGGCCCGATCTTTTCCACTGCCTCTACTTGTACTAGAAAATACTATCAACAGCCTAAAAAAGTCTCTCTTTTAAATAATACTTAATAAAAAAGGTCTGAGGTCTTGTAAGCAAACAAATCTGTAAAAACCTTCATAATACAGAGAAGGACATAAATTGTAGTGGTAGATGTTATGTGCTACCAAAGTCGTTTTTCTTATTTTTCAGAAAAATCTAAGTGCCTTTAAATATTAAGACAGATATTACCTTAAAAACTTTCCCAGTTGGTTTATCAGTTTGGTCAGTGGTTCTCTATATAACATGCTTGATAGAAATGCATTTTTAAAAAAGAGAATTGGTAATTATTTTATTAAACATACACAAATTTGCAAAAATGTCTTCTAGAAAAATTAGCTTAATTTATGCTTTGGGCAAATTCTTTTCACTTTTCTAATAGAAGATGTGATATGTGTAAAAAAAAGAAATGTGCACATTGACCATTGCATTAAAAAACAAAAACAACACAAACTTTAGGGTACTGTGTAAGTCTTAAGTCATCCCAAATGTCTTTATATTTTTAAGTAAAGAAGGCTTTCTTGCATTTATCTTTACCACATATTGTACACCAACACGGTGATTCCCAAAGATCTTCTACCTGAAAATGTTTGCATATCTCTGCATGCTGAATCTGAGGAAACTGGATAAGCAAAAGACAAAACAAATGGCAGCAATGGACAGGGTGTGAAAGTCAAATCTTTAGGAAATAGGAGAAAATCCATTGAAGAGTTTATACAGGAAAGATGCATCTGAGCCTTTACTGTTCCCTGACGACTCATCAGAAATGGTCTCAGTTCAAAAGGTGCCTGTCGAGAAACTTAAGGAAGGGGAAACGGGGAGAAGGCTGAGGTCTGCCAATTCACACAAGAACTGGACTGAAACTCAGGTCTGATGGAGTGGTGAATCCAAAATTTGACATTTTTGGTTGAAATTGTGGTAAATATGTAGAGAGGCGTCTAAGAGAGAGGTCCTGCAGTGACTGTCTACAGCCATCTGCGAAACGCGTGGAGGTTCTGCCACAGTTTGGGGATGCATTTCAGACAGTGTTACTGAGAATCTTTTCAAAGTTGATGGAATTATAAATGCAGAAAAGGACCATGACACAAGTGTGAGAGGTGAAACGTCTTCAAGGACACTTAAAGAAGTCCAGACGCTTTTCTTTTCAAGCTCCTTAGACTACGATGAGCTGGATGACTGAGAACCTTCACAGACATAGACTGATAAGAAGACAATAAATCATAGATTGGCCTTCCCAGAGTCAGGACCTCAACATTACTGAAGCAGTGTGGGACCAAAAGGCAGCCAACATCCTAAGAAGAGCTTTGAATGTCCTTCAAAAACCTGGAGAACTACTTTTGAGGATCACTTAAAGAAAGGATGAGAAAGCTGCCTAAGACAGTTCAAACTGTATTGGAAAAAAAAAAAAAAGGTGGTCGTACTACACATTGACTTTTAAGCTTGTTAGAATTGCACAAACTCCATTTTTGCTTCATGTATTTCCATGTATGTTTGCACATTTCAATAAATCACATTTTCCAAGCAAAAAATACAAAGAAATGAGGGGTGGTTCAAGACTTTTGCACAGAAATAGATTTCGTCTTTGTCTTGTTTTTTATGAGCATTTTTACACAATAATGACAAAAGAAAACATGAGAGTGATCTAAGTTAATGTAGTCTGCAAAATATCCAGTTTTCTCTAAACTGGGAAATGGCTATAGTTTAATTAGTTTAGTCTAAATTCTTTTAAAAACTGCATTTTAACTTTTAGCCTCAGACCTGAATTAAGTAAAAAAACTATTTTTCTTCATCATAACAGAAGCCCAGTGAAATAAAGGTGCGTTTCTCCCTATTATATTTGCTCTCTTACATTTTGGATAAAGAAACAGACTAAACAGACACGCAATGAGCATGCGTTCAGAAAAGAAAACCAACATAAAAAGTGGGAGAACATAGCTGTGTATCATTCATGGACACGTTTAATGTCGAGGTTGCTTTTTGTGACGTTGATGGTGCTCAACATGTTAGATGAGGTCATTAATACTGTGCAATTATCAAGTCTGATTATGCGTAAAATTGACAACAACAGAAGAAAGACGCATAACCCCCACATGCATAGATGCTGGACTTTCACACGACTCCGCTACCTGCGAACCCCTCCCCTCACCCCGGAAGCTACACTGTGGTGACAAATCTTGGCGTCATAACTCCCAAATGAACTGGCAGACGTGTCTGAGGTCAACGGATGCAAAAACACGAAGGAAACAAAAGGGTAAAGAGAGACTAAGACAAAAACAAATATACATACAGTACATACATACAAATATAATCTGTAAATCTATAGTACAGTGAATTTTTTTTATTCATAATCATCTCTTAAATAAACTGCGGTTCATTGCACTTTGTTAAAAATAATTAATTATATGATTTCTCTTAAAGGCAATAGTGTGATTTTTTTAAAAGGTGAAAAATATATTGTACCATAAGCCTGATTTAGGATAATAGTAAAAATAACAAGATCTGTAATATACATATGTTTCTGTAAAATACCCTCACCTCCTCATATACAGTGCATTCGGAAAGTTTTCACACCCTCGCAAGATTTCCATGTTTTGACTCCTTAAAAGGTTTTAGGAGTGTCTTTTTTATCCAGACTAACAAACACTAAAACATCTAGATGAGTCATTATTCTGTTTGAAGCTCACAATTGATCTCTGGTGCTTCCTTCCTTTATCAACAGTCAACAATCAAAGCATGGTGCAACTTTTACACTTAAGGTACACGTGCTCCGTATCTAGCTAGCATTGCGCTTTTCAATTTTAGTACTCCTCAGCGAGAAGTTTGTGAATGCTTGCAAACAAGTTACCATCTTCCATGCAAACTACTTATGAACTCAACCTGCTAGCAGCCAAAGCGTTTGCAAGGTTTTTGAGGAAACACCTCTTTGAGACCAATTTCACGCCGTTTGGGGTGCACGTTGCTGTCAGTGTAGCACTTCAACAACCAAACATTCATGGTGGAGTAGCCAAATGGAAGTCAATCCTTAATAAAAAGGCACACGATTGACTTGTGAAAAACTGAAAGGCAACTGACAAGATCTCAGACCACAAGACACACAATTATTGGGCAACAATCGTTAATGCTATTCCTGCAGTCAAACTGGGGAAGCTCTTTTCTGTGACACAGATTGGGAGGCTAGTAAAGATATGTGGAAAGATGGATGCAGAATTATATCCAGTGCAGTCCTGAGTGAAAAACTTTTACAGAGAGCTCAGAATCTCAGTAACATATAGTAGTGGATTTGTAGAGTGGCCCAACTAAAGTCAGGACCTGATCCCAATACAGCACCTCTGGACAGACCTGATAGTTGGTGCACACCAAAGCTCTGCAATGTTCTAAGGAAAGTACTAGGTAAGGTATCAGAATACTGATATCCTGGAATATTTGAGTGTTATTTGCAATTAATTTACATAGCACCTCAGTAACCTGTTCTTGATTTTTCTTCACGGTGTATTGTTATGTGTAGACTGTCAGAAAAAAAAACCTACTTTAAAAATCTTCAAAACAACAAAACTTCAAAGACTGTGAAATCTTTCTGAATGCACTATACAAGAATGGATGTTCATCCCCATATATGTAGCATATTCTACTTCTGTAGCACACTAATGCATGCTCATATGCCAGTTTTCTTAATATATATATCATATCTTCACGCAAACATATATACATACAATATTATAAAATAAATAAATACAGGAAAACATTCTTGGTTCGTGGTTTAACGGTTTCTTCCAAAGCGGTTTTTGGTGCAGTCTTTGACTAACCTCTCTGCATGTTTGGGTTTGAGCCCTTGCTGATGGGATCAACAGTTGACTGAGCCTCCCTGAAAGATGCACCGGTGGGGGAGTTGCATTTCCTTCTGTGCATGATTGTGA